CCGACGATCTCAACCACCACCATGGCCGGAATCAAAGTTCACGGAATCCCAATGTCCACCGCCACCATGCGCGTCCTCGCTGCTCTTTACGAGAAGGAACTCGATTTCGATCTTATCCCCGTCGATATGCGAGCCGGTGCTCACAAGCAAGAGCCCTTCCTTTCCCTCAACGTAACTCTTCTCTCTCTCTCTTGTTTAAATAAGCTTTTGTTTCCTTTAGATCTAACCATTCTCCTCGTTTTTCTTCAGCCTTTCGGTCAAATTCCAGCTCTCGAAGATGGTGATTTGACTCTTTTCGGTGAGTGTTTTTGTGTGACTTCCTCTAAAGTCACACTCCATGATTGATTGCGAAGAAGAAACAAAACCAGATCTCGTTGATTTTGATTGTTTTTTCAATGATTACTCCACTTTTACATACACATCATTACGTGGTCTTAAGTCAAAGTAGTGAATTTGTGTGTTATAGATTGCTGAAATACACATTTGCTGAATTTTGCAGAGTCGAGAGCCATCGCAGAGTACATAGCAGAGGAATACAGTGAGAAAGGCGAGAAGCTCTTCTGTCCAGGCTGCAAGAAAGTCAAGGCAGCTACAAAAGTATGGCTTCAAGTCGAAGGTCAACAGTTCGACCCAATCGCTTCGAAGTTAGCCTTCGAACGTGTCTTCAAAGGAATGTTTGGGATGACCACTGACCCTGCAGCTGTGGAAGAGCTCGAAGGGAAGCTCGTCAAGGTCTTGGATATATACGAGGCGAGGCTTGCGAAATCTGAGTTCTTGGCTTGTGATTGCTTCACTTTGGCTGATCTTAACCATCTCCCCGCGATTCATTACTTGATGGGTACTGACTCGAAGAAGCTATTTGAGTCTCGCCCTAAGGTTAGCGAGTGGGTTAAGAAGATCACTGCAAGGCCAGCTTGGGCTAAAGTTGTTGAACTCCAGAAGAAGCAGTGAGTGTTGCAGAGACACAAGACTTGTTGCTTAGCTTTTTGTCAATTGAGACTTTCCTTGTGCGTAATAAAATATGAGTCCCTGTGTGTTGTATCTTTGATGGTTGGTTTATGTATTTGTGCGTAATTTCAGTATATTGTTATATCATCTTCTTTACATAAAACCATAAGCCAAGAAAACTCACCTCGTCTTCGCTTGTTGTCTTTGTGACCGGCGCAACATATAACTTGGTAATACCACCACAATCAGCACTAGGATCTTCATGTATACAAAACAACAATGCAACAATCTCTGAAACACTATACAACCTCAAAAGTATACCACAAGAGACAATTCCATGATTTGAACGGGGTACCCGACCCGGGTTTTAAACTGTATCAAATCAAACACTGAACATTTGCAAATTCAAGTGCCTCTCTCCAAAAGAGAAGGTATCATCAATCATCTTCCTTTAAAGGCAAAATAGATCGGAATAGAAGAGTTATCGATCTCATAGATTTGTTTTCATTATGAAATTCTAATATTGAGGAATTCTTGTGATTTTCAGATCTGAGATCCCTTCTTTGTGCGTAATTTCAGTATTGTTATATCATCTTCTTTGTTCTGTACAACTGCTTTGGCTCAAGTGTCCCTCATGCGACGTATTATTACTGTTTCATAATCGGACTGGATTCATGCGAGGATATAAGAAATGCATCATTACATTAGAAAGAGGAAGACGAAGATAAATTGGTCTGCAATTTTGCGATGCCTTGTAAGGTGGAGTTGTTGCCCTTGAGAAAAGCAGAGTACCATTGAGCAGAGAGCTTTGGAGATCTCTTGAGTTGAGGATCGCTGAAATTCACATAGTACATTCCAAAACTAGCATCGTATCCGGTCAGTAACTCGTACAAATCCATGAATGACCATACGAAGTAGCCTCTCGTGTCTGATCCATTCCTACAAATAGTAATGTCTTTTTTTCTTTAACTAACCGATCAGAGAAGAGAAGATGCAGGAAGAAACACTTTACTTACCTAACGGCTTTGAGTATAGCGCCAATGTAAGCGTCCAAGAATTCAATCCTTGGTGTGTCCTTTAGTTGCAGCTGCAAATTTCGGTCTATCGGTTTACCTATTCGTTCGCATTGGCAAGAAAATTGAGCAGACTA